GCCCTCGCTGCTCCTTTTTTCTCCCCTTAGACTTAGTTTTAATAAAAGGCATTACCTACCCACAAGGTGCCGATTTCATAAGGAGGCCTTGGTGTCGGGGGTGGGGGGCTCTCTGATCTGCGTGCCGGGGCGCTGCCTCTCCTCGGGCCTGCCCTCTGAGCGAGCTGCCAAGCTCTTTTCGTAATTGTCTTGACAAGTGCGTGCTCCTTTATGGAGCAGCTGGGCCTCTGCCAGCCCGCACAAGCCAGGCGCCCCAGGCGTCAGAGTCCAGTGCCAGGTTCTTGCTGGTGGCTTTTTAAGCCATACCTTAAATATGTTGCTGAGACCAGTGGTGGATAGATAGTTATTTGAGGTAAGGATTGCATTCATTTATTCTGGTGAGGAAGAGCATTTGTGAATGGTAAAGGATCGCTGGTGTTTCTGAGCTGCGGACCCTCCTGTGGGCTGAAGCCTTCTCTTTCTGCCTTGGGGGCTTCCCTTGTGCCACTTACATACTCCAGAATCCATCAGAAAAACACATCTGGATGGTGCATCTTTGGAGGAAAGAGTTTATATACTTCATGCTGTCCAGTGTTAAAGGGCCTGAAGTAGAAAAGCAAGGTTGTTGCACCAGTGCCCACGATCACATCTAGGAATTGGGCACAGCAGATCTGGGGGAAAATAGTCTTTGTGTCCAAACGGACAGAGCTCAAGGAAGGAGTCCAGGATGCTCTTACTGCAACTGTGTTCAGATGTTCAGACATTCTCCTGGGCATTTCATGTTACTGCAGGTTAATGATATCCAAAAGCAGTGTCCACCTGACCCTATATTGGTTATTTGCTAGAGGGAGAGATGTCCATGTCCACAGACAGTTACTTACCAGTAGGTTGATTTGGCATGAAAAGTGTGACTCTTTCTATTTCTGTTGGCTTCAACCAAGCCAGCAGGAGATAAGTTTTCCTGCTGCCCAGTGAATTCCAGAATCTGTACAAACAGTATCTTCTCGTCTTTCTGCATATCTAGGCTGGACTCTCTGTGATTTTATTCTTTGTGTGTTGCATAAAACCCCTTCCCGAATAGCCCCCATTATTCTCCAGGTAGAGCTCTCCTGGTAACGTGTGGCCTTGTCCCCGGGGACAGACTTCCTTTGCTCATGGCCTTTCTCTTCTGTCTTCCTTTCCCAGGGACGGAACTCTGCCTGGTTCCTGGTGACCCTTTGGTAAGATCTTTGCCCTATTTGCAAAGTTTCAGCTGTGTTCTTGGCTTCTTTAACTCCTTCAGTTTGGGTCATATGAACATTCTGTAACCCAGTCTTGTATGTTTCTCTAAAATGTATAAGTGTTTTGATACAGATTTTCCTGAATTCAGAACTAGCTTCTACTAACATTGTAGTAGTTGCTCCGTCGCTCACTCGTGTCTGACTCTGTGCAGCCCCATGGATTGTAGCCCATTAGGCTTCCCTGCCCTTCATTATCTCCTGGAGCTTGCTCAAACTCATGTCCATTGAGTCGGTGATGCCATCCAACAATCTCATCCTCTGTCACCCCCTTCTCCCTTCTCCTCCTGCCTTCAATCTTTCCCAGCATCAGGGTCTTTTCCAGTGAGGTGGTTCTTTGCATCAAGTGGCCAAAGTATTGGAGCTTCAGCTTCAGCATCAGTCCTTTCAATGAATATTCAGGGTTGATTTCCTTTAGAATGGACTGATTTGATCTCCTTGCAGTCCAAGGGACTCTCAAGAGTCTTCTCCAGCACCGCAATTCAATAGCATCAATTATACTAACATAACATGATGTGTTTTATTTCTCTACACTATTTTATTAAAGTTCTTTTCTAAGTAACATCACCTGTGAGATAAGAGAGGTGAAAACACTTTAATTGAACCCATTTACTGTTTTGCCATGTAATTAAAATTCCAATGAGCCTGTTAATATGTCAATATTAATATATCAAAATTAAAGAAAATGCTATTTCTGGAAGTACCTAAAGGTCATTCCCTAACACACAGGTGCCTAAGAAAGTGAAACATGTTATTTGTCCTCAGAAGGAAGGCAAGGGGAGGCTAGAAAGGTGGTTGGGTCCCTCCAAAGCCATATGTGAATTTTCTGCCCAGCCGTGAGAGTTTTTAAGGGGAAAAACTGAAGAAGTCATCTCAGCTAATCACTGAGATGTGGGGGTTAGGCTGGTGTGCCAGCTTGTGGACTTCTTGTGATTTTTTCTTTAGATGTTAGCTTGTTCTCATAGTTTGTTCAAGCGATTACTGAAGGGGAGGCTAGGGAAGCAATCTGGTCACCTATTAATGACTTAGTCTTCATTTCTTTTCCTCTGATCTATGGAAAGAACCAATAGGTTCTTTGCATCAGGTGGCCAAAGTACTGGCGCTTCAGCTTCAGCATCAGTCCTTCCAGTGAATATTCAGGGTTGATTGCCAGCAGGTTAGGCAAGGCATTGTGTGGTTCGGAGATCTGAAAGGTGTGCTTGGGCTGGAGATGAATAGAACATGGGGGTGTCTGATTTCAGGTTAGTGACAAGACAAATAGGGGCCCCCTCTTGAGAGCTCTTTCCTGCCAAAAGTTGCTCACAGCCTTACTTTTCAGCTTCTTGTGAAAAGTAGTATTTTTGAAATTTGCCTACTCAACATTGTGACATCTGTAAAGGAGGCTGGTGACCATGGGGTTTCATGTCCCCCGAGGAACGAGTGTGCAGTCCTTACACAAGAAAATGGAACTGATGACACAGCAGAGTTAACGGACCCTTCACGTTCTAAACTTGAAAGAGCTCAGCCTTGAAGCCGCTATTTCTGCAGCTGCTAATGCTGGAAGCGAGGCGGGTAATTCAACACCATGCAATGCTTGTCACTGACTCTGGACCACAGTGAGGTTTGACCGTGAACCTGGAGGCGAGACATCAGAGGGTTTCACGTCACTAATGGAGAGGTTATGCCACATTGCTCTTCTTCTGCCAGAAGCAGATCCACCAGTGCAGTAAATAAGTTGGATGAATGTGAAATTTGATAATGTGGCTGTGTCACCCGTACTTAACTTCAGCATGGCCCAGGTCGCTCCAGCTGCAGACACACGCATGGAAATCATTTGGGGAAAATCCAGAATTCATCCTGTGTTCTCTGTCTCAGTGGGTTACTGTTTTTTAACAGTCTGGGTTCTTTTTTTAACCTTTAATGGGCCATTTTTAACCTTTAGTTTAACTTATCTTGTGTCCTATGTACCAGCAATGAATTAAGTACATTATGAACAAGATCTTTCCCTAGGAGATAGGTACTGTTTTCTATGAGAAGCCTGAGGACCCAAAGCAGTCAAAGGCTGTGTGCAGTGATAGCACCTTCCCCAGAAGGCTCCTGAGTGTGGTGACAGCACACGCCTTTGGAGGGAAGAGGCTTTCTTGTGTCTCCCAAGGGCGCTGAGCCGGGTCGCTGACAGCCCACCAGCGTGACTGAGTGCTGAGATGCAGAAGGCGGCTCGGGCATATTTAAAATTTATATCTGCGGCGGTGACAAGCCACTGAGTACGGTGGAGGGGAAGACAGATTTCCACTGAAGCTCAGCCAAAAACACTTTCCGCCACAACTCTGACAAAACAGTGCCATAAATGAACAAATCCAGAGAGTTTCTGGGTTCCGTGAAAACTTCTCACATGACGGCTGTCTCAGATACCAGGGCCACGCCCAGGCATCTAATAAGCCACCTCACAGGTGCACAGGCATTTCATTCGGAGCTGGGTGTTCTCAGCTCCGTAATCCAGGTGGGCTGTGATGCCAGGGTGCACCCCCGGTGTGCTCTGCATGGTCACTTGGAGCAATGTTGTTCCCTTTTAATGCATTTATTATCATGAAGTTATGTGCTTTCTTGGTAGTATGTAGAGCCTAGAAGTCAAATCACCACCTACCTGTGGGCTTGATAGTAACTCAGTGGTAACAATGCCAAGTTTTAGAAGATGGGTTTGGCTGATTTAAGTTCACGGCAGTTGTCTTCACTACTGTAGGAATTTGACATCTAAAGCTTTTCATGCCGGAGATCCCTGAGTCCGTTTAAACCTGCTTGTGGGCCCGCGACAGCATCCAGAAATCTCTGGTGTCATCTCAACACTCCCAGCACCTTGGGGTTTGGGCCTCTCCACTGGCTCTTTGTCACCTCGTTTTTGATGCACACAGCCTGTGCGAGGTGACTGCTGCGTGACCTCCAGCTGTGAAGTCTGGTCCTCTTGTTGAATCCTAGGCATTAGGAGAAAGATCTGGCCACTCTCTGTGTCCCGACTGCTCTGCGTCTCTCTGTGGGTGAGGGCAGTCCTGCCCCTGGTTTCCCGTGGTGTGCAGTGGGAACCTGCTGTTTTACCAAACACATGTCATTGATGGGATCCTGCAGTGGTATTAAGTGGGAGTGACATGACCAGATGTGAGGATAGGAAAGATTTGCATCTATAAAAATAGTCCCAGCTGTCCACTGGTGTGGGCTATCACTCTGTGTAATATTTCCTTCAGTTTTCACTTCTATTTTTAAAAAAATTACATAAAAATAACCATTACCTAAATTGGTGTATTTTATTTGAAACATCAAAAAAAAAAAAGTGTTGTTCATGTCATCTTACAATATAGTGAACTAATCCGGAAGTCAGATTTTGGCGGAAGTGAGCAGAACTTGGTGATTATGAGGATGCAGTGGGGGGATGGCAGTTCAGACTTTCTCCCTCCATCCTTCAGGGCCTGTTGGATGCAGTCATGGGCTTCCTTTAAGGAGTGAGGCCCCGAATAGATTCAGAATAAAAGGAGGTCGTCACATCCATAGGTTTGTTCCATGTGAGGGATCCAGGACATGACATGACATGACAAGAATAAAGGACATTTGCTTCAGTTTCATTGTCTCAAGTGTCCACGGAAGGACAACTCGAGATTGGGGATCCAAACATGATGTTCATTATTCTCTTGATGTGGGGGGGTGGTGTTGTGCTGGTGGGAGACCGACTCTCCACGGGTGAGAGGTGACTCTGCTGTGTGTGTGTCCTCTTTCCAGAACCCGTGAAGGAAGCTGTCGCCATGGTCTGCTGGGCTCTCAGGAGAGTCACCCAGGTGCGTCCCCACTTGGCCCGGAAGGCCAGCGGCGTCTACCCGGGCCACGAGCATCAGCCCTTGGGCCCGAGGCCCGCCGCCCCGGGAGCCCCGGGCAGCACGGTGGAGCTGCTGGGCAAGTCCTACCCCCGGGACGACTACAGCAACCTGACCCGCAAGGTCCTGTCCAAGGTGGGCCGGAACCTGCACAACCAGCCGCAGCACCCGCTCTGGCTGCTCAAGGAGCGGGTGAAGCAGCACTTCTACGCGCGGTACGCGGGCCGCGCGGGGGCCCCGCTCTTCTCCGTGTACGACGACCTCTCCCCGGTGGTCACCACCTGGCAGAACTTCGACAGCCTGCTCATCCCGGCCGACCACCCCAGCCGGAAGAAGGGCGACAACTACTACCTGAACGCCACGCACATGCTGCGCGCGCACACGTCGGCGCACCAGTGGGACCTGCTGCGCGCGGGGCTGGACGCCTTCCTGGTGGTGGGCGACGTGTACCGGCGCGACCAGATCGACGCCCAGCACTACCCCGTGTTCCACCAGCTGGAGGCCGTGCGCCTCTTCTCTCGCCACCAGGTGAGCCGGCCCCCGCGGGGAGGGGTGCCGCGGTTTCCCGGTTGATCCCAGCAGAGTTGCGCGGGGCCCTGGAGCTGCGGTCTCAGGGAGGGATGCTGCGGTTTCCCAGTTGATCCCAGCAGAGTTGCGCGGGGCCCTGGAGCTGCGGTCTCAGGGAGGGATGCTGCGGTTTCCCAGTTGATCCCAGCAGAGTTGCGCGGGGCCCTGGAGCTGCCGTCTCAGGGAGGGATGCCGCGGTTTCCCGGTTGATCCCAGCAGAGCTGCCCCGGGGCCCTGGAGCTGCGGTCTCAGAGAGGGATGCCGCGGTTTCCCGGCTGATCCCAGCAGAGCTGCGTGGTGCCCTGGCGCTTCCTTGGCGTCCGTGCGTCATCCGTCCTTGACGGCGTCCTTGGTGCAGACGGGGCCCTGGACGTCCTGGCCAGCGCGCTGTGTTAGTGAGGCAGGAACTGGCTGGCCTTTACTGCCCCTTGTGGGACCTTTGCCTTCCGGTCCTCACGTGCCTGTCGCTGCGTTTCTCCTGAAGAGTGGGTGGTCAGTGACTCACACTTACCCTCCATCGCAGAGGGCTGGAGATGCGGGGCCAAGGCCTGTGGTTAGGTCGCTCCGGTCCTCAGCGGGCGGAGGTTAATTACCCGGACGTGGTGGTGGACACCGGTGGATTTCCTGGTAGCCCGGGGCACTCACTGGTGCTCTGGCGGCTGAGACTAAGCTGCCTTCTTGCCCCCAGCTCTTTCCTCGGGGTCCCCTGCTGAACACTTGTGGCCGCTGTACGTGCTTTTCTCTGTGAGAGGGCGTCACTGTTCAGTTCCCAAAGTATGTGTTTGGGTTCAGAAAGCCTTTTTGATTGGGAAATCTGATATTCTGGTCATTCTCAAAAGCACCCAACTCCTCGAATCTGGTAGCTGACATCCTAACATGTTGTGCGAATCTTTTTTTTTTTTCTTTGCAATCTACGAAAATTCCTGAAAGCTTGAGTCTGTTTCCTAAAAGAGTGCAATGTCACTTGTCTTTCATTAACATATTTTTAAACCATCTCTTTTTTTATGTAAGAAACAAATGGAATTAATGAGGCACAGGAAATATCTTACATTACTCCCTTAGTGCTTCTTACAAACGTGTTCACTGAAACGGGAGGAATAATCATCAACAAAAGTCCCTCCCACAAAACATCAGGTCAGCGTGTTGTTGGAGTGAGCAGGAACAGTGTCGGCTCTTGGGTTGTTGAATGAGCAGAAACAGTGTTGGCTCCTTGAGTTGTTGGATATGAGCAGGAACGGTGTCGGCTCCTTAGGCTGATAAGTAATCATCGCTTGTTGTGTTCAATGAGTCCCGTTGTAGGAGTCCGCTGCCTCAGGCTGCTCAGCTCTTCCTGAGAATCTGTGAAAATGCAGAAATAGGTACTGTCTTTGCACAAAAGTCCACCTGTGCTTCATCCCAGAACTGCTGAGATGAGCACTTTTCTACTTGGGAAAGCTGACTGTTTTCTACGTTACGTTAAGGGTAGTAACTGTTATAAGGATGCAGGTTTGTTAGGAAACACAAAGGTCAAAGTCTGGGGAGTATGACCCGTTGATGGAATGTCACCTGCAGTTAATGAGCCAGCAGAGGTGTGACGTCAGGGAGCCGGTGTCCAGGTCACGGCAGTGGCAGGCGCTCAGCCCAGTTCATCACGTTACAAAAATGAAAGAGGCCAGTGCCCACTGGTTGGTGAGGCTGCGAGCCGTGGAGACGGCAGTGGAGGCTGTGAGACGCACGCTGGTGTTTTAGTGGAGGGAGAACCCCGGCTCCCTGAGAAGGTGGGAAACGGGCAGAGAGGGGATTAACCTCGTCTTGTTTCACACTTCTGCGGGGTCCAGGCCAGGTTAGTGGGGGGCAGGCACGGCTTGTCTTCGGATGATGTGACTGTGTGTTCTGCCTTGTAGTCAGAAAGACTACACGCACACACGTACACATATGTATCAATACAGTGAGGTAGTTCCACGCACCTTGTTTCATTTGCTGCTCGTCATAAAACCCTGTGAAGCAGATTACTTCCACTGCAGCGGGTTTAGTGCCTCACCCAGGGCCGCCCCGCCAGCTGGTGGCAGAGTACACCCGGAGCGTCAGCCGTTCTCCGCGTCCGGTTGCTTTTCACGGAGGAGCTGCTCACGGCCCAGCCAGGGCTTTAGTTCAGCAAGAGTGTCACGGAGATAGGACTGGTGTTTTGTGGGTTCCTGGCTTCAGCTGGTACCAAGTCTGATCTAACCTTAACAATCAAAAAAGAGTTTTTTTCCTTCTTTCGCTTTATTACTCTCTGAATAGGGTTTTTCTTTTTCCCATCATTGTAGTCACACTACATATGTAATTTAAAAAATTGTATTGTCATTCTGTAAAGTTTTCCGGTTATTTCATAATCTTGGCAATTGTTATTTTATTCACTGTGTAGTGTATTTCAGGAAGAAGAAAGGTGAATCGACAGATGTGGGGTAAAGGAAACAAGAATAAGCATAGAAATGGATATATGTTATGTATCTATTAGTTGTGAATAAAACCCTTTTGTGTTTCAGAAAAGGTGAAATGTATCAGTATTCACAAATTTAAATGTGTTAATTTACTGATTTAAAGACATTCATTATCAGATTGGACATTTTTCAATCAGAGAATCCCGAAACGAAATCACCAGAGGTTGAAAGTAAAGGGCAAGAGAAAGGTATATGAAGCATACACTTAAAGCTGGTAAAGCACTTTTTAGTATTAGATAAAATAGAATATGTGGAAAAAATAGTAACTATGAATAAAGAGGGATAATACATGGACCAAGATGCTTTATGACTTAGGAATTTTAATGTGCCCGACGTCATAGCTATAATACAGAAACCAAAACCGAAGAAATCCAAGTTTGAAAAGTTCATGATGATAGTAGGTTTTAAATGAGTTCAATCAAAGTTTGATGAATTAAGCAGACAAAATAAGTAAAGAGCAGCAAATCTGAGAAGTATGATTAGCATGCTTGATTTGTTTTTAAAATTCTGTAACTATGTATGTGTGTTTTTGTTTGTACAGACAGACAGACACACACATAAATTCTATACCCAAGTGTTTGAGGTATATAGTCACATGGAAAAACTTAAAATAAGTTGTCTATGTACTAGTTGACAGTTGAAGTTGTAAATAAATGTCAGAGACGCAATAACATTATTAGAACTATGCCTGGCTTCAGTGTTGTTGATGTGGAAAGCAGTAAGAAAAGAATAATAAAGCTTTCCCTGTCCCTAGCTATCTAAAAATTCACAGCTGTAGATTTATGGGTTAAAGAGAAATATTGGAGTTATCAAAAGTCACTGATCACTAACTAGCAATGAGAACACTGCCTTCAGACTGCTCAGGTGTGGTGGAGGCAGTCACCTTGTGGTTCTGGTGGCGGCCCTGCTCACCGTGACGCCGGCACCACAGGAGGAGCAGCAGCCAGACCTGCGTGTCTCCTGTCGAGAGGACACAAGGCCACCTGTGAAGAGTCCTGTCAAAAAAACTGGACCTATGTCAGCTCAACGTGCTAGATCTAACACATTTATAGAAATACAGAGGACAGAGAAACACATCAAACTACATCAGTTCAGTTCAGTCGCTCAGTCGTGTCTGACGCTTTGCAATCCCATGAACCACAGCACGCCAGGCCTCCCTGTCCATCACCAACTCCCAGAGTCCACCCAAACCCATGTCCATTGAATCGGTGATGCCATCCAACCACCTCATCCTCTCATCCCCTTCTCCTCCTGCCCTCAATCTTTCCCAGCATCAGGGTCTTTTCAAATGAGTCAGCTCTTGGCATCAGGTGGCCAAAGGACTGGAGTTTCAGCTTCAAAATCAGTCCTTCCAATGAACACCCAGGACTGATCTCCTTTAGGATGGACTGGTTGGATCTCCTTGCAGTCCAAGGGACTCTCAAGAGTCTTCTCCAACTACTCGTCATGTGGATAGAACAAACAAAATCCAGCCCGGGGAAGTTCTATAGCGATGCTACTCAAGGTGAGATCTGCCTAATGCAATCAAGTACAAGCATCACAGTGAGTGATGAGACATGACGAGGCGGTCACATTCAAGGCTGCTGTCCGAGGACGTCGTGGGTCTGCACGTAGTCTGGTCCAGGCCTTCCTCGCTGCTCTTGGTGAGCTGTGCGTGCAGTCTGGGGGGGTGGTTTTGCACAGCACCTGTGTATCAGTTCCAGACTGAGTAGAGGCCTAGAACTGTCTCTGCCACAGACAGTTTGAGAAGCACTGCTCTTCAGGATAAATGATTCCGTTTCTTCAAAGAAAAGCAAGGAAAAAACAATAGCTGGTGCCTATAGGTTAAAAAAAAACCAAAAAACCAGATCTCAATCAGTCACAGCGTGCAGATCCTGTCAAGGGAAGCATCTTTCAAGAGAAAAAAAGATGTGAGACTGTTGGAAACTTGAACACTAACTGAACATTTGAATTTCAGGAGTTCTTTATGTTTAGTTTTTGACGTCCGACAGTGATATTATATTTTTATACAGTCATTCTCTCTCAGAGATACATATTGAAATACTGTGAACCGAATGATAGATTTTCTTCAAAATAATGGGGGTTGGGCATTTGAGGATGAATGTAAGAGGATGGGTCATGAATTGTCAATGACTGAAACCAGGTGTTGGATACATGATGAATCATTATCCTCTCTGTTTTTGCATACGTTTAAAATTTTCCGAATGAAAGTTTAAAGAAAAAGACTGAAGGAAAACACTTCAGGGATCAGTCAGGGATCAGTCAGTCTGTCGACCAAAAAAATTTTTTTTTCTGAACATGAGCTGGGATCCAATGCTGTGAGAAGGTGTCAGAGAGAGAGAGACAGTATCAAACGGTCACGAGAAGGTTCTGGTTTCATGGGAAAGATAGCAATTAAGATCAAATTTGCTGACATATTGAGTGCAGCACTTTGACAGCATCATCTTTTAGGATTTTGAATAGCTCAGTGGGAATTTCATCACCTCCACTATCAAAAAC